ACCTGTGTTGGGAACTCACATTTTCATTATTTAGCAACTATTTATCAAGCGCCTACTGTGTGTGCAGCACTGAGCTACAGGTAATAGCTCAGATTTTCTGAATTATAACGTACCAGTAATTATACTAAGAAGTTTACCTCTAGCATCCCATTTGCTCTTCACAGCAACTAACCTTATGAAGTAAGGGACATTTTTCACACTTGCAGGATGAGCAGACTGATGTCCATGGAGACTTGAAGTGACTTTCTCACAGTCACACAATGATATGGAAAATCCTCCCTCATTCATTCACTGGACAGCACTTATCAACTACTTTCAAAGTGCCACTACCATACTTGGTTCTAGGGACCAAATGACAGGCCAGGCAGAGACGCCGTCATCATGAAGCTTACCGTTTAGCAGAGAAGGCGGTCAAATAAAACAAATGATTGCAATAAAGTCTGACAACTGGCTGGCTCAATGAACTATCGGGTGTTGGGAGACACACAGGTGGGCAAGCGGAAATTAGCTGGGTGCAGGGATGAGGGGAGGTTTCCACGCAGGGAAAGCATCATATTTGTAAAATGGTCACCGAATTCAACACCTACTCTTAGATACACATAAAAACTGTAATATCTTCATTTTGCCTATAACCATCCTCTCCCCAAGGCCCTGTCTGGGAGGGAAGTGAGCTCAGACAGATCCAATAAAGCTGTAAGTCCTTTTAGACAGAGTTCAGTCTCTCCTGGACGAGTGTTTGTTCCCTCTCTCAGATGGCATCTCTCCTCCTTCTTCTTCTAAGACCTTGTGGCAGGGAGAGGACAGGGGGCCTGGGGCAATAGGCCGTTGTCTGCCTAGCTGCTAGGTGCCCTACTGGTCACCCATGCCAGCATCTGCCTCCAGTGGGCTTGTGATCTGTTCTCTCCCAGACAGGGTTTCCTGCAGGTCCCCCCGGCAGATTAAAGCTCAGGTTGCCTCCAGTTGGGGCTGAGAACATTCTGGATCTGGCTGTGACTCCCATTCTGGCCTGGCCCCAGTGATCTGCTCTGTGCCTCACTACACCCCTCATCCCCTGAAAATCCCCTTCTAGAAACTCTCCAGCCAGATTCTCAGTTCCTTTTGGTTTCTGGAAACTAAGGAGAGGGTTTGGGGCGGCAAACCTTGAGTCTTTCCTCTGCCTGATCGCTCTGCACCTCCCGGGTAGCAACGATGCGGCTCAGCTCAGCTGGATTGCAGCAGACCCTGAGTGGCCTCCTCCAGAACATCCAAAGAGACCGGTGGGAAGCGCAGGGTAAGAGCTCCCTCCTGCCCTCATTACCATCTTCGCTTTTTAAAAGCTCGTTTCACTCTCTGGCCTCACTTTCTGATTCATCTTTCCACAATTACCCTAGAATCAGAAAGGGTTTCCCTCTTGCTATCACATGAAAACCCTATTGTGCATCCCTGGAAACTCTCTCTCCACATGTGAAAGAAGAGGTAAAGCAATTTAGACAGACTTTTCTCAGGTGGTAGCCTGGGCCTTGCTGCAAATTCCTATTTTTTAATGTTAAAAGCTGAATATTACCTCAGTCATTTTCTTGCATTCCTTCTGGAACAGCAGTCCTCAGCCATTTTGGCACCAGGGACCAGTTTAATGGAAGACAATTTTTCCACAGACAAGAGGTGGGAGATGGTTTGGGGATGATTCAAGCACATCACATTTATTGTGCAGTCAGACCTCTCTGCTAATGATAATCTGTATTTGCAGCCGCTCCCCAGCGCTAGCATCACCACCTCAGCTCCACCTCAGATCATCAGGCCTTAGATTCTCACAAGGAACCTGCAACCTAGGTCCCTCAAGTGCACAGTTTACAGTAGGGATTGTGCTCCCATGAGACTCTAAGGCCACCACTGATCTGGCAGGAGGCGGAGCTCAGGCGGTGATGTGAGCGATGGGGAGCGGCTGTAAATACAGATGAAGATTCACTCACTGGCCTGCCGCGCACCTCCTGCTGTGTGGCCCAGTTCCTAACAGGCCACAGACCGATACCAGTCCGCAGCCTGTGGGTCAGGGACTGCACTTCTAGAATAAATCTTAATCTCCCCAGACAGAGAGATGCTTCAGGCACACTGGGGTGAAGATCATGTTCTTGGATAGGCAAAAGGGAAAAGCATGTTAATATATTTCAAAGCACTTTCCCAGTTACAAGGGTAAGAGCCCTGAATGAGGAAAAGTGCAGCACGCTTGAGGCACTAGGAGACACTGACCTGGCTAACAAGTTACAGGAAGAGAGGGTACCCGGTGAGTGCCGAGGGATATAAAGAAGGTGCCAATCATTAACCCAGCACAGGGCATCACAGGGAAAAGCACTTGCCAAGCACTGGAGGAAGCACTGAATGGAAGGCCGAACCAGGCAGGGGCAGTGACCTGGTTTTTGAAAGGGTCCCTCTGGCTGCAGTGTGGAGAATGGACTGGAAGGAAGGGGAGGAGATCAGATGCAGGGAGTTCAGTAAAGTGTGACCACAGCAGCACAGACAAGAGATGAGGGCTAGGAGCGGGGCAGGAGCAGTACAGATGGAGTCTGGGGGCATCGAACCGAGAGACACACAAGTGCTGCGACTGGTTGTATATGTGGGAGGCGAGGACAAGGGAAAACTTGAGCATGAGCCTAAGAGCTCTGCCTCGAGCCATGAGTAGAGGCAGGTGACTTTTTATAAGACAAGAAACCCTTGATGTAAGCAGATTTCTGGGGCTGGACGAGGGGGAAGAGTTCCATTTTGGAAACCATCTACGATAGTCCGCATCCAATAATGAATATATAGCGTATTTTACGAGGTGACAAATTCAAATAAAATTTATTTTCCAACCCTTCACTGCCAGCTATAACTTTCTCTGAAAATTTGATTTACCATAAAACGAGGACATTGATCTTCGGTTTCATTCTGCAGTTTGTGGTTTACCACATCTTGTTCCTTCTGCCCTCACGAAGTTTTACTACATGCATGAACCTACCACTCTCAGGTTTAAATTCATGCAAAAATCCTACTAATCATTTTAGGTGAATTGAATCCATGTCCTCTTACCATGCAGAAGAGGAATACATGGATTATCTTATATGCAAATAATAGCATTTTGGTATCAGACACTAGGAATGCATTTGATATGCAACTGGCTATCTTTTGTGATTATTGCTGAAAGGAAAGTCTTTAATCAAGTAATCTAAAACCAAAGCTCTCATTTTGTTAGCTATCCTACTTATGACAGTTTTTTAAAGACATCGTAGGAAAAGTCACCTTATTTCCTATCTAAGTGTGTGTTTTTAATCTGGTTTATTTTGGAGGATATTCCAGCAATTTACATTTCTCAAAGCTTCTGATTTACCAAGCTTTTCTTTGATGGTTGGAAAAAATGTTTACTTACATTTGTTTTACCAATTTTCCATCTAGGCTATATTTGTGGTATCCATTTTTTGTAGTAAGGGAATTATGAGATCTCAAGTTAAATATCAAGTTCTCCATTTGGGTCTGTCTTAGAGTAGAGCCAAAATTATTTTCTGGGGAGAATAATGGGCCCGCCTATGCGGCAGTGAAGAGTGTTTGTTGTTGATATTGTTGTCTTTAATTTCAAACAGAAGTTCTTAATTAGCACACTAACCCAGCCTCATTGTTCAAGCATATGGCTCTGAACTCAATTAGCAACACAGACTAGTGGCACCCCAGTTATGACTCAGGTATTCACTCCCAAACTTGCTGCCGCTTGGTACTTTTCAAAAGCTCGGTAAGAAAAACAACACACACACACGCATGCTTGAAGGATACCTTATTCATCCAGTCCTCTCTAGATGCTCTGAAATTCATTTTCAGGCTAAGCCAAAACACTAGAGAGCTATATATAGTCTTGGATATGAAAACAATTTCTAAAATTAATCAATTAACTTCCCTGAGCTTCAGTTTCCAAAATGCAAAATGAAGGAAGGTTCATTCATTCAACTAACACTCAATGAAACTGCTGTCCCTAAAGTGTTAGGTCTACAAAATAGAATAAGACACAGTCCCACTTCTCAAAGACCTCTCTGTCCATCCATATTTCTCAGTATCTTTATCTATCTATAAAGATAAAATAGGTAATTATAATTCTATGTAATAAACGCAAAAATGGAGATATACACAGGTGGCAGAAGCACAAGGAGGGATACCTCACCCAGCTAGAGTGCAAAAGAGAAAACGATCGAGGGATGATAAAATACTGTCTTCGCTCCCACAGGATTAGTGTATTCGTAGGGATCAAACAAGAGAAGGTACAGAAGACCATCATCAGACCGGGAAATAGCTGCCCAGATGAAGGGCAGGTGTATCAGCTATGGTATCTTTGGCTATAACACAGATATCCCAAATTGGCTTAGTAAATGTGGAAATTTATTATGTCACATAACAAAAGGTCCAGAGAGAAGGCAGGCTCCAAAGCTGATTGACTTAGTGGCTCAATTGTGTCATCAAGGACCCCCATTTTCTCCCTCATCAGCTCTGCCGTTCTCGGTGTTGGTTTTCCGCTCAAGACAGAACACCTTAGTCACAGGTAATGGTACCAATTTCAGGCACCACAATAAGACACATAGGGTCCTGAATAAGAAAGAGACCTTCTTTCCCCGTATCTCCTTAGGAGGGATGAAATATTCCCAGATGACCCTGAAGATTTCCCATCACATCTCAAAATCCTGGACTGGGCTATATGCCTACATGTAAAGCAATCACTAGAGGGGCCATGGGTTGACCATCACAGCTTCAAGTAATCATCTGAGATGCTGTCTGTTAACTACATTAGTGTTATGTGAGCACAAACTAGCTGACTTGAGACAGGCAGGCGCTCTTTCTTCTGGGGGTCTCCCATTTTCCAAATTATCTCTGCATTTCTTACCTTATGAGATCCTACTGATTTTTCTTTACTTTCGATGACTAGAAAAAACGTCTGTTGGAAAATGATCCAATCATGTCATACTAGTCCATTATGCAACTCAAACTCAAGCATTTTAAACAAAACTTACCAAAATCTACTAGTTTAACTCCACCTTCTGTGGTCAACAGAATGTTATTTCCTTTTACATCTCGGTGGATTGTTTTGTTCTTATGCAAATGCTGAAGTCCCTAGAAGGTGGGAAATACATAA